GAATGGATCACTGTTGATACACTAGATAAAATTCAAGAAAGAAGGAACAAGAAAGCAGTAATCAATACCAGTCGAACAAGAGCAGAAAAAGCCAAGGCACAAGCTGGATACACGGAAGTAAACAAGCAAGTGAAGAGGAGCATCAGAACCGACAAACGTAAATATGTGGAAGATTTAGCAACGATGGTGGAAAAGGCTGCAAGAGAGGGAAACATGAGACAACTGTATGACACGACAAAGAAACTCTCTGGAAATCACCGTAAACCAGAACGACCAGTGAAAAGCAAGGAAGGCGAGGTAATCACCAACGTTGAAGAACAACGAAACAGGTGGGTAGAACACTTCAAAGGACTCTTGAATCGATCAGCTCCACTGAACCCACCCAACATCGAAGCAGCACCCACGGACCCCCCAATCAATGTTGGCCCACCAACGATTGAAGAGATAAGCATGACCATCAGAAAAATCAAGAGTGGCAAAGCAGCAGGACTGGACAACATTCTAGCAGAGGCACTGAAAGCAGACGTAGCGGCAACTACAAAGATAGTCCACATTCTCTTCAGCAGGATTTGGGATGAGGGACAAGTACCAAAAGACTTGAAAGAAGGACTCCTGATCAAAATACCGAAGAAAGGCGATCTCAGCAAGTGTGATAACTACAGGGGCACCACTATTCTCTCAATACCGGAAAAAGTCCTCAACAGGGTATTGTTAAACAAAATGAAGGACTCCGTAGACGCCCAACTTCGAGACCAGCAGTCAGGATTCCGTAAGGATCGATCGTGTACAGACCAAACTGCAACTCTACGGATCATTGTGGAACAATCAATTGAATGGAATTCATCACTCTACATCAACTTCATTGACTATGAGAAAGCATTTGATAGCGTGGACGGAACAACACTATGGAAGCTTCTTCAACACTACGGCGTGCCTCAGAAGATAGTCAATATCATACAGAATTCCTATGATGGATTAAACTGCAAAATTGTGCATGGAGGACAATTGACAGACTCGTTCGATGTAATGACCGGTGTTAGGCAAGGTTGCTTACTCTCACCCTTTCTTTTTCTCCTGGTGATCGACTGGATCATGAAGACGTCAACATCTGAAGTGAAACGCGGGATACAGTGGACATCTAGGATGCAGCTGGACGATCTAGACTTCGCAGATGATCTGGCCCTCCTATCGCAATCGCAACAACAAATGCAGGAGAAACCGACCAGTGTAGCAGCAGCCTCAGCAGCAGTAGGTTTCAATATACACAAAGAGAAAAGCAAGATTTTCCGATACAACACAGCATGCACCAATCCAATCACAATTGACGGAGAAGATTTGGAAGATGTGAAAACCTTTACATATTTGGGCAGCATCATTGATGAACGTGGTGGGTTTGATGCAGATGTAAAAGCGCGGATCGGTAAAGCAAGAGCAGTAGCAGTAAGCAAGGGTAGCAAAGATAATAATACAGTGTACAATGCGAAAACCACGTTGAATAGTAAATCAGTGTTAGCAGAGTAGATTAAATGTAAGAACGAATTGAAAGCTTCTCTAGGATTTTGTGTGTGGTGTTGAATGATAAATATCTAATCAATACTCACTAAATAAAGTAATAATGAACTTTTAATATATCTAATCAATCTTTACTTACCTGTGCTGGATAGTGTTTAAAAAACTGAGAGTGACCTAGTCTGTTCGTTTAGCCTATGTGTCACATGCTGAGAGAGAAGATAAATTTATAAGTGAATGTATAAAAGTGTTTAATTTGGACGGAGTATCCCTTACTTAAATTAGTAGTAGCCAAAGAGAAATAAACAGTCTATGTTAGTCTACGGAAAGATTTCGTGTCAGTAATATTTCTTACAACAACACTTACTTAACCTTACTCATACATAATTCGTAACAAACCATTGGAAAAATTGTTCTTTTTTAACATACAAACACAATAAATAAATGTGTTTTTATTCAGTCACTTATGGTTTTAACTATTCAACAAAAAGTTCTATGCTATTTTAATGTAACTATTTTTTATACTACTAACAGTAGTTAATTTGTATTGAGTAGTTTTGAAATAAAAATATTAAGGATTGAAAAGTCACTAAGTATGTCATACTTCTTCCTTATATCATCCATACATCAAAAGACTTGAGTGGAGAAACAAGTTTTGGTCATTGTTTTTTTCAATTTCATTTTTATTCACTTTGAAATCTTTCAACAGTAAAAGGGTTAGCGACAGTCGTCACTATGCTTAAGACTTTGATACAGTATTAAGCGGTATCTTCAGTCTTAAGGCAACTGATTATCTTTCTCTAAGATTTGAACATGTGCTACCTAGCGTGATAATCGAGCTTTTTAAGATAATACCAAGCTGTTGTATGGTAAATATGTTTATGCCAATCGATAGTTTTAATGAAACTGTAACTGCAATTGAGTTCTATCGATATCTACGTTTTCCTGAATTTAAAATTATTTATTGGTTAGATATCGAGGTTCACAACGTTTTTTAAATTTACAGCCATCTATCCTCATATTTATTTTATATTTTCAGACATTTAACTCAGATACATAGATAAAGATTAAAATCTTTGGCACGGCACGGAATAATGACTTCAGGTTTAATTATCTGAATTAGTTTACGTATAGACAGAATCTTGGATGATTTAGTGACCTGCGTGACCGTCGTTTCAATTTTCACCATGTGGAAGTGTTTTTTTAACTGTCAACATTCCAGTATAATAGTAATTTTTATTCCACTTATTATAAAAGCAGGATATATTTTCCCAAAATGTAAATACTATAAAGTGCAATTTAATTGTCAGCAAAACCGACACAAATGCTCCACTTGGAGCTACTGGGTAGTGATGCCAAACGTGCTAGCTAATTCAGAGAGTTGTTAAAAGTTCAACTAATCCACCAATTCTATGCTGTACTTGGACTACGTAAAGTTTACTCTTCGAGGCTTTAAAAATCGTAACGGGCTGTCTGATGTGTACGCTTATGTATATGAATTGCATGATTCTTGGCTTGTGTAGTTTATGTATGTAGGTACAAGCAGAAGATATGCGCCTGAGTTAGTACAACAAATGTAAGCTGAAAAATGTTTGCATCATGTCTAATAAAACCAGCGCCCTTATCCTTCAGGTTAAGGAGATAATAGAAAGATATAGTAGTAAACATCAAGGGGAGGTGACCACCAACCCTTCATGAGAGAGTGCTTATGGTTATGTAAATATCGCAAAGTGTATGTACGAAAGTCTTTGTACCAGTGATAAGCATGTAATGCTTAAGAACCAGTCAGTATAAAATACGTTCGAAAATAGCGGTGCCCATCTATCTTTCAGGTGAGTGAATATATTTACATGTATACTATGGGTTGCAGGGGTGAGAACTTGTGTGACCGGTATGCATACAGACTCTAGTAGCCCTGGAGGTACCAATTTCTTCCTGCAATCATATCCACGTGATGGGTTTGTGAACCCTTAAAACACAGAATTAAAATCCAGTAAAAGCACACCGGCTTCATCAGATAAGGATCTATCAACCTTAAATGGCTGGAACACCACATCACAACCTAATTATCAGTTAATTCAATTCTCTTGTAAGTTGGGCATTAATCTGTCAGAAGAATTATTTATGATGTCAGTGTTTTAAATCCTGCTATACCACGGAGAACAACATAATTATGAACAAAATGAAGAATAACACAAATTAGAAGTTATTGTAGTGATTTGAAAGTTACATTTATGGTCGAATAGGTTGATGGCTTTTTGTTTTTTGTTGTGATGGGTAATTTGATCAAAGTTTCAATTGAGATTATGAACCGATCAGTGTTAGCCTACCACTGAAAATCTTGAAGCACTAGTTCATGATCTCAGTTTGATCAGAACTAGTAACCATTCAAAAAATGGATAAATATACTTCTGATATTTGTTGTAAGCATTAATCATTGATTGGTAAATAGGCCGTTTATGATGAAACTATTTTCACAGCATAATATACCAAAAATGATAGCCAATATCTCCTGAGAGTTATACATTTCCTAATGCTTAAGTCCGCTGTCAGAAATTATCAATAATATGGGGTTTAGAGAAGATTTTAGACTTTCGTAAATTATATAACGGACTGCTCTTAATTAAATAACTAATTAAAACTAAAAATCACTAGATGATCGCGCAATATCACCGATTGGTTGAATTTAAGCATGTATACCATTGAATTCCAGTCAGTGGTCTGAGGTTTATGTTCTCTCATGCGAAACCAAACGTCCCAGGTCCAGTCCCTAATGCGGGGTGAACGGACATTTCTGAGGAGTCCCACAAATGAGGTTAATTAACAAGAGAACAAAAACTAAGTCACTATAATAAAATATATCATATACCCAGAAGACAGGGTAATTACCAAAAAGCTACCGTAATATTTTCAAGCCCAGAAATCAATCGCTTCCTGATCGTTGGTGCTGACTAACTTTTAGCGATTAAGCTTATAAGCTAAGCACTTCAATACTGAGGTTTTCTTTTTATTTAATATGGTATAATCAAAAGTGGACAATGTGAAACTTCGAAACTTAACTCAGTGATTATTTAAATATACTCGAGTCCATAAAAACAGTGTTGAAAACAATCCATTTCTCAGAAAATGAGTTAAAATCCAAGTGACTCATTGGATACAGTCATAACTGAGACGCTGTATGGAATGGGTTCGAATCTTCTAAGCTGAAATTTCCAAACACCTGTCGATACTAAGAAAGATAACTAAAATAGTATATTCTTAAAATACATGGCTATTTCGCATGGAAATCTAATTAATTTACTTCTAAATATTACGAAGATTTCAGAACGAGCACATCTAACTGATCATGTATCAGTTTAAATATGGAGAATGCTTTAGTAGTACAAATATATACACATAAATGACTATGAAAAAGTACACAATAAAATTTCCAGAAAAACTATTCATTAAAACAGGATACATCTTGATTTTTTATATTTTTAGTCACTTACCAATATCTGACGGAAGTTCTAACAATTTATAAGTTAATGATGGTTGTCTTTCTGGACTCATATCTAATACTTGTAATTCTCTTAACATGAACAATTCAGCTGGTACATTTTCCAAATCTTTTCCTTGTAATTTTAATCTCTTCAATCCTGGATACTCAACATCATCAGTTTCAATATAAAGTCTTAATGATACATTTGTCATAATTAATGTTTATTTGTTCTTTTTTAATTGAAAAATGTTAATTTAATTCAAAATTGAAACAGATTACTACAAATAAATAAACAAATAATTGATTAACTTTGATATTTGTACTGTTTCGTTTAACTGGTTACCAGGGTGTTAAAGGTCATAGAGATTCGAGAAATCTAAATTCTGATTGGATAGAAACAGATGTTAAAATTAAAGAAGCTTTTATAAATAAATTATACAAAATACTACTCATATGATAAGATGTTTTTTTTTAAAATAAAACCGATAGTTGCAAATATAGAAGTAGCCAAAAATCTTATCAGGTTAGTTAATACTATGATAAGATCATAGAATTAAGTTGAAGAAAAATTTTCAATATTTTATTTGTCACAAAAAATGAAAAACAATTCACCAATGGGGTACTTTTTTTCTATAAATCAATAAAAATCGTATTATCACTAAAATTTAGAGAAAAAAAATCTACTAGGTAACAAGATAATAGTGACAATAATCTTAAAAAGATTATCAATTTTAACTGAATCATTAACATTATAAGATAACTGGAAATGAAGTCTAAAATTGATCTTTTTATAGTTTAATATTAGCTAAAGAATTGTTAGAAACCAAAAATTATTGAATAGATGTTTTGTTTCAGTCTTTAGTCTATCTATCTATTATCATTGTGTAGTGAATGGAGAGTTGGTGAAATTATTCAATTTATTGTTTAGTACTAAATTACAGAATGTCTTCATAAATTATAAAAACTATACATTAAATACTTTATTTGCACATCTTCCATCAGTTATTCTTTACATCCTTCATGATTTTTTTTGCAATTCTCAATTTCTTTCTGTACTTTTCATTTCAATCTTCTTTTGACAAGTATTTCACATCTGACTGATGTTACATACTGCTTACACTTAAAAAATATAAATAGCATACACTACAAGTGCTCACCTCTTCTACTAATTCAAACTATAGCAAGCTCAGATATAATTTATCTGAAAGTAGAAATAAATCATTGGCCGATAATTTAATCTGTTCAATCATACAGTATTGAAAATAAATTTGTCGAAAAGGAATCTTTCGATGAATAAACTGTTTTACAACTTAACGAATATATATTTGAATTAAATTAATCTTTAGATTTAAAAAAAGATTTATATTACAATTCATTTATTCATTTCCTCCACATCCTTATATCTACTTTAAACATGTGTCAATTACCCTGCTTCTTTAATGTTGTCGTGTGTGCTACTGATGTCGACAGATATAAGTAGTATATATCATAAATCGAAGATGAAATGCCCGATAGCAGATGGTTAAGATGATCGAAGAAAAGAGAATGACAACAGAGAGTGATTGATGTGGAAAAGAAGAATCAGTCAAATCTGAGATAATTGATTGACATTTTGCAGGTGAAGTACTTACTGTATGGTTCTCGGATTTTACTAAGAGATTCTGTAATTTTGTGTTCAAACACATTCGATTGTCCCCACGTTTGTTCGCGTTCACTACAATTTGAAGGTTAAATCCGTTTCATAGAACCATGCTACCTAATCATTTAACATGAAAGATCATTCTTGATATGAATTTTATTACTTTTTAAAAATTTAATTATAATCATTTAGCAAAATAAACTATTCAGAATAATTAATTTAAATTTTTAAAATGCACTCTTTAAGTTAAAACTCCAAAGGTCGTTACAAATATTCGCGCACTTTTCACTTTATCGTTGTTAGCTTACTTAGTTATTGACTTACTCCTGTTACCCTTCGTGGAGGAGCATATACCACCCCACCTGGATTCTCCATCGTATTCTATTAGCTAGAGTTACAACAAAACTACTACATTTTCTTATTCTTTATAATCGTTGGAGTCCTGGTCAAATTGTCACTAGAGGTACAGTCTGAATTCAATTATTAGTTATGATTAGCGATTACATCTGTCCATTTTAATTTAGTAGCCAAGTTATTACTTAATATATTCAGCCACAATACGATAGGTAAGGGAAACTGAGAAGAAAACCTTAAAGAAAGATGGATCATTAGGACCAGAGTAAGATAAAGTAAGAAGTGAATGTAAATAAAATAGTAAAATAGACTCTAAGTCACATCTTTTAATGTTAGTGTATATAAGAAATCTTAAGTATTAATTCCATGAAGTAATAAAAACGATGATGCTGTGGGAAGACTAGTATACATAATGTAAACAACAATCAATGTTTATTTAACTTCCGTATCCGCTAAAAATAATCTCCTTCATCTGGTCACTTCTATGTGTATCTACTAGTTCACCTGCTCTCGTGTGCTATCCATGAAATAAAGCGTGAGTTTTAACTACAAGATAAGTAAATTTCATCATTGTCTGTATTGTGAACTTGAACTATTATTATCATTTAATTTCATTGATTGCGCATTTGAAAATGTTCCTGTCTCTTAAATTATTACCTATATTCACTTGATTGTATTCGTGATTGTTTCTGACATCGCTTCACTTAATATAATTCCTACGATACCTTTCATTATTTTTAATTAAGGATTTTAACCATCTCACTTCATTCACACTAAAATCCATTGTTAATCATTTAATTTTACACGCGTAACTTACATATTTTAAAGTAAAACATGTAAGTCACGTTATAATCACAAACTCCATGTTCTCATGAATCGAAAAATGTGTTGTAGATACCAATGATCGAAATCTCAAACCATTAGTATACTGGTCACTAGCTAAAAAAGTTATAGCCGCGTTCAATTGTAGCTCGTTTATATTTGAAGTCTAGTGATACCATCTGGCAGCTCAAACTGATAGAGATTGAGTGTCATTTAAACAAGTACTGCCATAGTTCAGAGTCAAGAGATTATTGGAATATTCTGCAAATTGTAATGGATATTGTATCCACTCAACTAGGCACCGAACATTTATGTATTATTGTAGAGACCCATTTAGAAATTAGTTATTTAAACTTAGGCTACTTATCATCCGAGCGAAGTGATGAATATACTCAACCATATAAATAACATATGATGAAACTAGTGACAGAAAATTACTTTGAACATGACTGTCGTGAAAACTTAATTGAAATTTCAATTTTCATCAGGACGATTTTGAATCTTATCAGTATTTCCATCTAACATGATTCTGTCATAACGGTAGCTCAAAATAGCTGTATTATACATCAATATTATTATCAATATATGTTGTACTAATTAGAAATATGGCAAAGGGACAAACATAGTGATATGCAAAAATTCATTATTTTCCTCCACAGATAATTAACATTTGCAAATCAGTTAGGGCTTAAAATAATAGAAAGAGAATATACATTGTGACAGAATCATTTACTGAATGTATCCAAATAATTTTCTTACACAAAGACTTATTTGTCCAGTCGTTAGCGTAAGAGAACTATTTTCTTCACCGTTTTTAATTTAATGTAGAACTTCAAATGACAAAAGTTTCTGTATTATATTTTCAAGATTTTTAACAACAATTTTTACACACATGCATAGTATATCTTCCATTGTACTATTAGTCATGTAAATCAGTGAAACATTGAGTACCTAAATGTAATTATGTTTATTGTTTAACCATTTTTCGGATCAACTAATTGTTTAATACTTTATAAGTCGTAAAGAAATTTTGATGCATAAAGTTATATTTATTAGATTAAATAAATATATCATTATTATTAATCTCTTGTAACTAATTAGTAACTGTACACAATAATGCGATTGTTCAGGATACTGTGTTACTTTAATATTTAACTCTGAAAATTGAGAAACCGATAACATTTAAAATGTAGTCACAAACGTAGAAAAATAGGGATTAGAAAACGACCTATTAAGTTATTCCATATTGATGAAAAATTCCCATTATATTAAAAACACAATTGTATGAACGAAGAATATTCTTTTCAATAATTTCTCATCAGGTTCTACAATTATAAATCCAGATTAATAATCCATAAAATTGGACAGATTTAAGGCAAAATACATCATCATTTGGAAACTGTAATGTGTGAATCAGAAATTGTTTGTTATATAAAATAAAATCGTTAGTGTTGGGGCTGACTAATATGAAGTGTTAACTTGAATCAGTTTGTAAGCGAAATGAAATTGTGCGATAAATGATCAGAATAAATATGGTCAACATGGGGTAAGAGAGAGGGAGAGAATATTATGATTACAAATCGGAAATTACGTAATATGTAAAATAATTAGGTCAAATATAGTAGATTCAGGGGTGGATATTGAATAAATTCCTCAAAAAGGTTATCAAGTGCAAAGACAATAATAATAATAATAATAATAATAATAATAATAATAAGTTTGGGACAAAAATGAACATTAATCAGATTATGTCACCACATTATAAGATTGATTATTAGCTAGTTGGCCAGGGTAAAAGGAGTGGCTGGACATACTTCTTTTGGATACAAAGCTCTGGCTTTTTTATCCGAATAGCAATTGCTTCAGCCGTCTGTAGGATTCGCAGTCTGACGGAATTAGGTAGACTGCTGTTGACACGATAAACTATTGCAAAAGATTGCTCCATGTTGGCTGTATGTCCTGTTTGGACTAAATGGTCTAAGATGGAGCTGTTAACAGTTTTGACAACACCTTTGCTTAACCACACGGGTAGGTGCTCACGAGCCCGAATGTACAAATTCCTAGAACATCTGCCAATATAACTTGCTGAACTGACCCAAACCTTAAAAAAGCTCAGAGATAAACAAATGATTCCAAAAGACGTATACGAAACAATTAAGCCAATAGGTACACATTTACCTAGGTTATACGGACTGCCAAAGATACATAAACCGGATATCCCATTAAGGCCAATTTTGGACATGTATGGTTCCCCATATCATACTGTAGCAAAGTGGCTAGTAACTGTTTTGAAACCACTCCATAATCGCCTGGTAAAACATAGTATTTTAGTGACTCACGTTTATCACGAGAACACGACTGGTTTAATAAAAACAATTATTATTATAACCAACTGTACCAGTGTTTGTTTTAACGTGCTTTTGTTTGACTGTGCTAATGACAGCTATTTTGGGCTTCCATTCACTTGCTTACACTTCGATTGTAACTTCGCGCGAATTCGGTTAC